CTACTCAACAATGTAGATTTTCTGAGATCCAGGAAAAGAAGCAAAATCTAGTATTCTTCTGAATAGACCTATCACCTGTGCACTGCTAACGCTCTGAAGTTTCTGCATTCAGAAGGGGCAAAATTAGTACAGGAGACAAATTCCCCACGTTATGCAGAAGACAAAAATTTTTATGGTTGATTGTAGAGAAGCTGGAGGGAGAGCTGCAGGAGTGGGGAGGGGTAGACCAGTTCTCCCGGCTGGGTGGCATCATTCTCCATGGCTGATGATGTCTCTTGAGAGTAGGAAGTTTTGGGGCTTTACCTTAGAACGGACACTAGAAGATACACGTGACAGTGAACCCTCTGGGTTCTGCACCCACTGCTGCACAAGGAGCGTGTGTGTAGCAGGATTCCACTTTGTGTGGTGCACGTGCACCTTTTTATTCCCTGCCTCTCGTGGCTGCAGCTGAAGGCAACTGAGTTATGGCTATTTCTCTGTCAGTGGCAGAAACAGAGCAGGATTTATCTTTAGTGCAGAAGAGCCTTGCCTGAAGGCCCAGTCAGGAGGTGCTGGATATCCACAGCTCTCACTGATAGCTGGGTGAGGTGAACTTGTTCTGCATCTCACAGAACTGTCTCCGTTGCGAAGAACCCGGGGATGTGTGGGAGCTTTTGGCGTTGCTCTGAGGTTTCTGAGGCTGTTCTGTGCTATGTTGAATACTTGCTTCTACCTTCAAACTGGAAGGGTTTTCAGAGCGAAACAAGTAGAAATCCCTAGGTATTAGTTTACCTATAGGTGGAATTTCATTTTACGTGTGTATATACTTTATTTTGGCAAAGTTTTGGGCTTTGTGCTCTCAGTTTAAAAAAACCCCAACTTTTCTCTTTAACTTAGTATATATTTCTTTACTTAATGTGTGGTAGGGAGCTGAATTTCGCTCTTCAGAAAGGCCTCCAGTTAATGAAAACACCGTTACTGTATTCATTCAGCATTTACTGCATGTGTCATTAACAAAACCCCCTGCACACCTTCATTTTCATTGTATGGGCAGGGGGGAAGAGGAGCAAGGGGTTCACTCTTCCAAGCTGATGGCATTGTACATCAGGGGAATGGTGTCTTGTTGAATCTGCACCCAGATGGAGATGGACTTGAAACAATAGTGCTGACAGAGGTGTGAATCCTCTCACCTCATCTTAATGGGGTGTTAAATTAAAAACTTAGTTATGGCCATATAAAAATTGTTGTTAAGACGGTTGTCCACAGCACACAAACCTAACATGAGTCATTGAACACATACATTTTACAGTATATTAAAATATTTATATTGTTAATGTGTAATATAATAGAACCTACTGGATTTATTTCTAAAATTTGGAAATGCAGTCTGTCTTTTAAATTACTACTTAAGTGTTTAGTTTATTGATGTGTGGTGTCATTTATAAATTCACAGCCGTCATATATGGCTTATTTAGATTGAACGTGATTTCTGTTCTTCAGAAATGCATGTGAAGTACATTATAATTTTATTCTATTTTAAATAATCAGTTTTAGGGTATGTGTATATCTTGCAATGCACTGCCAAACTGATTCTGAACAGGGTAGCTCTAGGAGCTTTGCATGGTCTGGGCATGGTAGGTTTTGCCCCATGTATCGCACTTGTTTGCTTAGAAGAATTAAGAGTGGTATCACAAAAGGTAGAATTTTCTTTAAATAAAAAACCAAAACCAAGAGAGAGAGACCCTGTGTCTTCTCAGGTGCTTGTGTGGAGGTGAGGTACGGCAGGTTCAACTTGACACTTTTCTTTGCAAAGCTGCTGTGCGGGTGTGATTGATGCTTTGCATCCCAGCTGTGTGAGCCTCTTTGCACAAGTTAGAGCTGTCTGTGTGTGCACGGTAAATCCTGCACGTCTGGGATGCATCAGACTTGCTGGACGTACGTAGATCACCTACTTGTTACGGGATTTGGAAATTGGTGGACTGCTTCATTAGGTTTGGCAGGTTTGGGTCATGTAACTAAGCAACCTATCATGAATTGCTAACTGTAAGCCTGGTCCTGTCTCTCTTCCTCTATGAGAGAGAGTGGGAGTTCTTCATCCTTTGGTAAAGGAAGTTTCTCAGATGGGGAGAACTGGCTTCTCGCAGGAGTCTGTTGAAAGAATATCTTCCATGTTCAGAAGAGGTTTATCAAGGCAACTCAGGGAGGGTCCCTCAGAAAGGAGCTAGTGCATCCCCCTTTAACTTGGGCTATGAATTTTACAGAGCAGAGAGTGACCTGGAGGGACAATTAATATTTTTTTTAACTGTTCCCTGGTCTGAAAGATTTCCCAAATCTCATACTACCACTTAAATTAGCCTGTCAGGCCATCAAGAAGAGCCAAGCAAGAGTCTCAGCTTTGCATTAAGACCCTTTTTGAAGTAAGTTATTGGGAGTCTTTACCTGTCCCATCAGGCAACACCTTTATGAGTTGAGGCACAGCAGGGATTTGCTTTAGTCCTAACTGGGCCAGTATGAAATGAAT